AACTGATAGACAATCAGAGAGGACAATTCGTACGCTTGAGGATATGCTCCGAGCTTGTGTCCTTGACTCCGGGAGCCATTGGGACGACCATCTACCCCTGATAGAGTTTTTCTACAACAACAGCTACCAAGCAAGTATCGGCATGGCTCCATATGAGGCGCTATATGGGCGCCCGTGCAGGTCACTGATTTGTTTGGAGGAAGTGGGCGATAGAAGATTGTTCGGCCCAGAGTTGGTAGAGGAGACCACGTCCAAGATAGTTAAAATCAAGAAGAACATTCAGACAGCTCAGAGTAGGCAGAAGAGTTATGCAGATACCCGGAGGAGAGACCTAGCGTTTGAGAAAGGCGACCGTGTGTTTCTTAAGGTCACTCCTTTCAAGGGAATTAGTCGGTTCGGCAGGAGGAAAAAATTAAACCCCCGATATATTGGACCCTTTGAAATCTTAGACAAGATTGGTACCGCTGCCTACAGACTAGTACTGCCTCCCGAGCTCTCCCGAGTTCACAATGTGTTTCACGTATCTATGCTACGTAAGTACAATCCGGACCCTTCTCATGTCTTGACTCATGAACCGCTTCCACTCCAAGAGGACTTGTCTTATGAAGAAGTACCGGTCGGTATCACGGACCGAGAGAGCAAAATACTCCGCAACCGAGAAATATCATTTGTAAAGGTCGTGTGGCAGAACCACACGCCCAGGGAGGCTACTTGGGAACTGGAATCAGAATTTAGAGCCCAGTATCCCCATTTGTTCGACCAAGAGTAAGAGGCAAATTTGGGGGACCAAATTTCTTTAAAGGGGAGAGAGTTGTAATGCCCAATAATTTTAAAATTTTATTTTTATTATTATTAATTTTATTTTTATTTATTTTATTTAGTTTAATTTAATTTAATTTAATTTAATAAAAATAAAAATAACAATAATTGTAAAATTGGGTAAAAAATATTATTTGGATTTAATTGAAATTGATTTTGGGAAAAAGGGGTGAAAATTAGGATTCTGGGGGTATTTTTGAAAAGAAAATCGGAAACCGGGGGTCAAAACGCAATTTAGAAAAATTGCGCCACGTCAGCGCCACGTCAGCAGCCACGTCAGCGGCCCAGTCAGCAGCCCTGGCCAACCAGGACCTACCGCGTAGCAAGACCACATCGACCTGGGAACGGGCCACGTGGGTGATCTGCGTGCGCGCACGGACGGCCCAGATTAAGCGTGCGCACGGACGGTCCAGATTTAATCAAAATGGACGGCTTGATCAAAAGGCAAAAGGGTATAAATAGAACCCCCACACCTGACCACAAAAACCCTAGCCGCCTGCCCTCGCCGGAGAAGACGAACCAGACGCCGGAGGAGCCGGCCACCGCCACCCACCGCCCCACCGGGGAGTTTTCCGACCGCCGATCGAGGTAAATTTCATACTCCTGGCTCGTTTTTCAACGCTGAGTTCCCCTGTGGCCAAATCAGAGCCAAAATTCTAGCCAAACAGCCGGAAAACACGGCCGAAACCCAGCGGCGCCGCCGCGTCCCTCCTCGGTTTTTGCCTCCGATGAGGTCCTTCCCTGCCTCCGTTTGATACAATTTTTATATCACCGTGATCACCATTCTTTTCTCTACAGGTTGATCAGAGCCAAATCACCAAAACACGAACCTCGCAGGAGAGCCGCCGCACCCGAGAGCACCGCCGCCGGTAAGCTTCGATTTTTCGTAATTTTTTTGGCCCCCCGAGGGCCCTAGGGTTGTTTTATCGCAGGGACCGATGCAAGTGTGGTCGAATTCGACCGAAAACGGCCAACCCGAGGCGAATTGCCGGAGCACGGCGGAGCCGCCGTGCCGGAATTGCGATATTGGCCGAAAGGGGCCCTGGGTCTATATTTGGGATTTTTTGGGACACATGCAGGTACCAGTAGTGCATTTCAGTTCCTCGAAAAAAATTCAAGGACAGCCTGCAGGCGCACTGTAGAGCCGTATTCGGACCCTGAAACAAGTAAGGACCCCTCACCCTATTTCCTATCACGGTATTAAAGTTCAATAAATGATAAAACAGTATTTCATGAATCAACAGATATGTGAAATTGTTTAAGGTCGCTAATGGAGCCCGAGTTTGGTGTGTTTGTCTGTTAGCTGTTGTTTGGCCTATTTTACGGTTTTAAATGCAATATGAGGTCTGATGTTTTCATTTCATAGTTTCGTGTGCATATATTACTGTTTTATTGATTGTGGGTTGAATGACTGAGAACCCGATGTTGTATGTTGTCTTGTTTGGCATAAATTACTGGTTTGCTTATTTGTGTGTGCATTGATAATGCTGACTGAGGAAAAGGGAAATGAAAGGTTATGTAAATTGATAATTGTATAATGTGGTCAGTCTGACTAGACATCCTGGAGATGGTGGACGGACCAGGTCCGTAGGGAACCCTATCGGGATTGTGGTCTCTCATACCGGACGGGGTATGGAGACCCTATGTGTTTTGGGCGCCTATACCGGACGGGGTATTGAGGTTTATAGTTTTGGCGCCCATAACGGACGGGGTATGGGGACGACCCTGGAAATCTGATTACAAGTGTTAAGGGTTCACGGGTAGCGGACCCCTATGG